TATGTATATATATATATATATATATATATATAGTAGTACTCTGAATAAAAGGAACTCTCTTAAAAAATCGCGTACAGTATCGAGGGAGCGATTGTTCAATCTTGGGATATGCTCACATATATGTAAACACGTATACAAGTCGTATATACGTAAGTACATATATGCAAAGTAACATCCATTTGCTTCTCTTATGTTTCATTTCCAAATTTATTCCCATTCTTCATTCTTGTTTCTTCCATTATACCTATCTCTCTTTTTTTTTTTGGTTCTCTCTTCTCTAGTCTATTCCATTTTTATAACTTTCAGTTATGTACGAATCATTACGTATCAAAGGAAACACCTCGTACAAGAAGTCTGCAGAGAAATCCAGTCGCACTTCCGTGATTATTTCGCGATACGCTTTACGCACTCACTATTATTAGGTCACATATCGTGTACAATTACTACGTATAACTATGCCGATTGAACTATAATACGACCAAGAAGCTTGCTCGCATTCATTTAAATATCACGGCAGACTAATTATCGAATAAAAATCGAAAATATATGTATATATGCATCTTTATATATATTCGTTCTGTACCTACTATACCTAATACGAAGTGTTTACGCAATTTATTATAATGTTATAGTCATTTTTATATTGGATTCTTTTTCATAATTATGGATCTAAAACTAAAGTCCGTTATGTGTATCGTCGGATGTCTTATACCTTACTTGTATAGTTACATTGTTTAAGCGCCTCTTAAATTCGGAAAATTTATTTACAAAAAGTAATTGATGCTATTTCTTGAATCTTTTTGCAAATTTAAAACTTGCAATTAAAACAAAAACATTTTAAAAATTCAAACCAAATAAATTCTTTCTCAATTTCTATTAATTCGCAATGAAATGTGAGGATTATGGATAATGCCACGTTAATTATCTATCTTACATTTTACAATTTTAAAATATCGAAACAATTACGACTAACGACGTAATCATCATTATATTTAATTATTAATACAATTTTTGTAATCTTGAATCGATTAGAAGAATCTTAAATAAATATACGTTGTATAAAAACCGTAAATTAAATCAGAGAGAGTCTTTCAATTTTATTTCTTATTTGCCTAAAAATATTAATATTTCTCGTCTTGTTGGTGTAAGTACTTGTTATCAATAAATTTTGCAAACATAAACGACGCTTTAAATAAAATTCTATTTGCATGGTGTTTACTTTTTCTCATATAGTTCAGCCTGTCCCTGAAGTGGACGGTCTGTAGTATACATACTCGCGCCCCATTATTTCATATTTTGAAATTTTCCATTTCGATATTTTCTCTAAATAGTTAAGCCGTTATATTGCATCAGTTTTCGATATAATATTATTGATTAATCACAATATTTTTCATACTTTGTGTTAAATATCTCAATCACGATATTGCATCACGATATTGCATCGAGAGGTATGAAAAAGATATTTTTCTCTTCTATTTCAATTTTCGATTGTCTATCTACTATAACGAATCGAATAAAATTCTTCGACAGATTATTTCACTCTTTCACTTAAATATTTTCTCCGAATGTCTCATCGATCATACCAAATAAGATAAACTTATAGAAACAATTTTCTTTTTCCAGTTTGATGTTTCCTTTAAATTCGTATGCGTTATATCGAAAAAGATGCTTAGAGAAAATATTTCGCTCTTCATCTTCAATACCTTTTGTAAACGTTTCACAATGGATTGACCGAAATAACAAATAATATTTTCATAAATCCTATCGGAACTTTATACACGTAACTACGAACACGCAGCCGGCATAATCGTTGATGGACAATCCAGTTAAGCGGATTAATCGCCGAAACGTAGCGAGCATTTGAGTATTCATATCCTCTTTCGTTCGAATAATCACGGCTATCGCAATCATAAGTCGAAGCGCCGACCAGTTTCTCCGCAGAATAAAAATATACTTTGTGTTTCATCGTTCTAATTTCCCTCTGTCTTTCTCTCTCCAACTTCTACTCGATCATTCTCTCTCTCTCTCTCTCT